GTTATACACTAGACTAAATAGTAAGGAGTGAGAGAAGAAGATATACAAACTTGCTAAGATAAGAGAGAAAAACAATAGATTTTAATCAGGTTAAGTGCATCAAGGCAAAGACTCCAAGGTATTGGTGAGAGATGAAGAGATTAAGGAGATGGAAGAAATATTTTGAGAAGTTAAATCAAGAACATGGAGATAGGTCAAAAGGGAAGGAAGTAAGCATCAATAAATAAAATCAGGACTATATATTCTATCGTAGGATTAGGGACTTTGAAGTAGAGTTTGCACTTAAGAAGATGAAAATAAATGAGGCTTTAGGACCCAATGATATACCTATTGAAGCGTCGAAATGTTTGGGTAAGAAAGGAGTTGTTTGGTTGACGAGGTTATTTAGCAAGATTTTGTTAACTAGGGAAATGCCAGAGTGGAGGAAAAATATTTTAGTGCCAATATATAAGAATAAAGGAGATGTCTAGAATTGCAACAACTATAGAAGAATCAAGTTAATGTGTCACACAATGAAAGTGTGGGAGAGAGTGGTGAAACGTCGATTGCGAGATATAACAGAGGTGTCAGAGAATCAATTTAGGTTTATGCCTGGTAAGTCAACAATGAAAGTGATCTATCTTTTAATGAGAGTTATAGAAAAGTATAGATAAAAGAAAAGCGACATTCATATAGTTTTTATAGATCTGGAGAAAGCATATGATAGAATGCCTCGGGATATCATCTGGTGGGTGTTAGAGAAGAAAATGGTAACAAAATGTTATATTGATGTGATTAGGAATATGTATGAAGGTGCGATAACCACTATTAGATCGCCTGCTGAAGAAACGAGTGAATTTCCAATTACTGGTAGGTTATACCATGGATCGACCTTAAGTCCTTATCTCTTCGCTTTAGTTATGGATGAGTTGACTTGCAATATTTAGGATGATGTGCTATGGTATATGCTTTTTGCAGATGATATCGTGTTGGTGGATGAGACAAGAGAAGGAGTTAACACTAAGTTGAAGATTTAGAGAAAAATACTTGAATCTAAAGGATTTAGGATAAGCAAAACTAAAACAAAATATATGGAGTGTAATTTTAGTAACAATCACAATGGAAGCATAGAAGTGAAGATTAAGAATCAGGAACTACTTAAGAGTGAACATTTTCGTTATTTAGAATCGATTATCACAACGACTGGGGAGATTAGAGCGGATGTAGTCCATAGAATTAAGGCAGGGTGGCTTAAGTGGAGGAGTGCGTCTAGAGTATTGTGCGATAAACGAGTACCCATTAGACTAAAAGGGAAGTTCTATAGAACGACTATTAGACCAGCGATATTGTATAAGGTGGAATGTTAGGCAACTAAGAAACATCATATAAATAAGATGAGTGTTGCTAAGATGAGGATGCAAAGGTGGATGTGTGGCAACACTAGGAAAGAAAGAGTTACGAATGAGTATATTCGAAATGGGTGGGAACAATACTGATAGAAGATAAGCTGAGAGAGAATAGATTGAGATGGTTTGGTCATATACAACGGAGACCAATAGAAACAATAGTGAAGAAATACGATACAGTGACGGTAGATGGTAGTGTTAGGAGAAGGGATAGACCTAGATTGACGTGAACTAGTGTAGTGAATAAAGATATGAATCTTCTTAATTTGACTAACGAAATAGCCTTGGATAGAGTTAAGTGGAGAAGAAGAATTCATGCAACCGACCCCATTTGATGGGACTTAAGGCTTGGTTTGGTTTGGTTTTGTTTATTTTTATCAAATTAGTTTATATTTTATCAAATTGACGACTTTGCCCTTAAAATTGAGCAATGGTATCTTCAATTGTCCTTATTTAGAACAAGATTCAAAATTCATGTTCAAATGTGTCATAATTGAAAAGTCAAGGACCAAAGTGACACAAGCCCCAAACTATAGAGACTGTTAGTGTAATTCGCCCTTTTTTAAATATAGGGATATTGGAATAAATATGTTGTCTCTATACTTGAATACTCCAAAAAAATAAAGGATATTTTTGCAAATATCACAAATTTGAGAGAACTATTAGCATTCTCTTTGGTCTTTACAAATTGAGCAATCGTATCTTTATCTATCAATTGAGTTTCTGTCTCTCTCGATAATATCTCTCTGTCAGTTAGCATCATACTCTAGTTTGCACCTTACTTTAACTACTATTTACATTTGATTTCGAGTTATTATATATCATGCACTACTACAAATTATAAAAATATATACTTTTTTGGACATATCCTAACTATACCCATATTCTCCCTTCTTTTTTTTTAAGTTTTGTTGTATCGGTGTACCCATATTTGTGCTTCATCAGCTAGAATTATCACTTTGTCCTCCCATCACTAGAATTATCACTTTCTCTCCAAACAAGAGATTGAGTTCATTCATTCTCAACCAACCTAACACAATTAGATTCATGGTTGCTATCATTTTTACGGTTTCAATCTTTATTTTCTTGCATAATGATGCAACAATAAAATGAATAGTACCAAAAACAAAACAAAACAAAAAAAAAATAGAGGAAAGCGGAGAAGAAGAATAAAATTTTGCCCACAAAGAGAAATATACACAAAAACTGTGTATTTAATAATATGCCAATATAAAACCATAATAGTTCAATATAAATCCATCCCATCCATATATATAGGCCTACAAGCATCACCCAATAAGAAAACAAAAAAATAAAAACTAAAATCCTAATGAAATCAAAACTCCTAAATATATTTAAAATTCCTAAATAAACCAAATTTCCTAATATATATCCAATACATTGCCATTCCCCATCATATAATCAAATAAAGTTTTGAATTTGTTCCTGCAGCCCTTCAATCATTTCAATTGTTGCACATCTACCTCCCCACAACCACAATCAATGCCTATGAGATAAGAGCAAAACTTCCACAATGTTTGTTCTTTAGGATGTCAGGTTCAAATTTAGGCTTCAACTGATCTCGATAATCAATAAGAGCCTCCCCAAAAGGTTTAGTCAATAGTTCGGTTTAAAAGAGGATCTCAACAAAACTAAACCAAACAACTTTGCTTATTAATGATGTTCATTTGCTTCAAGAGTGTCTGGTGTCAAAATGGGTAGTGAAACAAGTTTAAAAGGTACAAAACTGAGCAATGGAAGCTTTTATGCTAAGAAGCATGAACACTTCTGCGAAGTAAACGTGTCATGTTCAACACTAATTCAACATGTCTTAATTAAAAAATCAAATACATAAAATAAAAGTTTTACCAACACTTCGCGGACGCTTCAGCGACACTTCTTGAACCATGCAAGCATGTCCTATGTTATGAATCTCTCTATAATAACAATGTTTTGAATTCTTCATAATAAAACTTATGTACTCTTAAGGCCTCATTTGGGAACAAGCTATTTTAGTAACTTTTTGGCTTTTTACAAAAAGATGTGCAAAAAAATAGAGAGAGTGATGTGACAACTTATAGTGACTTTTTGACTTTTTGGCTAAAATAATTACTCCCCAAATGAGGCCTATGTTTTGAAACATTTATAAGGTTAACACATTATGTGTATTACATAATTGTTTTGCATCGTGTAGAATATAATTGTTACTTGAATGATCTCTTGATATTTAAGTTATGAAATATATAACTTTTTAATGTAATTAGTGATATGCTACATATTTTTCATTATCCTTAGAAAATAATTCATATATATAAGACAAATAATAAATTTGTAAAAAATATCATTTTAACATGTGGCAAGCATGTCATTTCCTGCATATTTTGAAAATCGACATGTCAGTGTATCCATGTCGTGTTTGTGTTTCTGCTACTTAGCTTTTCCACCTTGCTTTCAACTTTGCAATTGACATGGAATTAACTAATACTAACTTTGAAGCATTGCAGCACAATAAATGGAAATAGCTAAACCACTCTATTCTCTATCAAATAAGTGGCAAACGAAATTCAATCTCTACCCCCAAAAAAATAAGTAGCAAAGGAAGTTAAAGATGAAAGTACAAGGTCCATGAACACTACGAGAACATATCATATTTAATTGAGAGGCAACACAAGGCATTCCACATGTTATATTCTCAACCTCCATCCACAATCCAGCACTAGTAATCTCAATTTGTTTTTCATATTTATTAGTACACCGCACTACAGCTAGCAGCCCTTTACCAGTGACTGGTTTTCCATAATGAAACGAAATGCTTATCTTGGGAAAGGAAAATAAGATTATCATTTTTGCCAATGAAATAAACCCCAGATGTTAAGTAGAGACTTTGAAAGCAAGACACAAGTAGAGACGGACAGAGGGAGTGCAGAAGGAGAGAGGATAGAAGAAGTCACATTGACTCCACTGATTTAGATCTTATTGTTGAATTTTGAAAGTAAAATGGATTCATGGGAAATCTAAAGGCATCTAGCAAGTAATAAAATTGCAGTAAACAGTACTCATTTGGCAAAAAATCCTTCAATATAGCAAAAAGAATACTTTTCTATTCTCTTTATCTTTCAATTCTAAAGCTAGAGAAGGACAAAAATCATAACATTATTCTTCTTCCCATCTCTTCTCCCCTGAAGCTATCATGAAATTATAAAATTAAATATAAAAAAATATATATTTAAAAAAAAAAGAAAAGCCACACAGGTTACCTTCTCCCCTGAAGCTATCATGAAATTATAAAATTAAATATAAAAAAATATATATTTAAAAAAAAAAAAGAAAAGCCACACAGGTTACAAGATTTTTTATAGCATTAGTCACATTGCCAATACAACCAGTGAACACCAGTCTACTTTTACTCTTAACCAAGGTTCAATTTTCAAAAGATTTCAAGATTTCTGTACAAGTAAAGAAATCAACTTTGATATTTTGATGTGCAATAAAATTAAGTTTAAAACCTTACAATCAAGAGGTCACACACCATATGAGAATAAAGAAGTTAGAGCAAGTTGAAAAGAAACAGATCGAAAAAATCAACAACTGTACAATGCCACGAAATCCAAATACCTGAAAAAGAAGGATTATAATGACAAGCAAAACTCCAATAGCCATTGAACTGCTATAATAGAAAGGAACCCAACTGTTGACCACTGGTGCCAACAGCAATAAAACAAAACCAAAAGCAAGACAAAGTAAACGCCATCTTTGAAACTCTGCACAAACCATAAAAACCAAAGATAAACAATGAGAGAGAGAGAGAGAGATAGAACAGAATAAGAATTTAGACCCAAGAACTAAGAAATAAATGCCTGACCATCTTCAACTGTCAATGTGACAGGACCAGAAATTTCACCAACGAACTTAACATCAACGTATCTGTCCCCATAAGGTGACACGACAGAGCTCCAATGCCCCTTCTGCACAGCTTTCCATTCATCCTTTTCACATTGACATAAACCACGTGAAGCATTCCTACATTCCTGCAAAACACTTCTTGAGTGAGACAATATTCTCAACCATCATAACTGTCACACTAAGATATCAGAGATAGAAAGAGGAAGTTCAAGAGCCAAAAGTCCAGGACAATCCACTCACTTGTGAAAACAAATCTGAATTTTGTTATGTAATCTCTCGGGAATTACTACAGATGGGACCAGAGTAACTTGATATGCACTAGCATAACTCCCAAGTTTCAATCTTGATTGACCAGCAACTCGAATGCGTTCACACAATAAAACATCATTAGAACCACGAGAAGACGACGCATAACCAGCAAGAAGAGATGGAATGACATCAATATTTGGCTTTTCCACATCAATGCCTGCATTTCAACATTTGAGGCAATTAATTTTCAAATAAGAACATAGACAGTAAATATAAAAAGTGGGATAAAAAGGGAAATGAGGTGTTACAAGATTTTGAGAAAAAACCTCTAATAGTGCATCACTAATTTTACAATTTGATGCACCACATTACTTTAATAAACCTCTCATTCAGCCTTTGTAGTGTATTATATCCAAATATAGACACTACAAGTTTAGATGTGCTATTAACGTTGACTTGAGGAGGACTTATGATTCCATTATTTGAAGTTTGGGTGAATTACACTACTAGTCCCTATAGTTTGGGGCTTGTATCACTTTGGTCCCTAACTTTTCAATTGTGACACATTTGATCCTGGATTTTGAATATTGTTCCAAATAAGGACAATTGAAGATATCATTAGATTTCTCAAGGGTAAAATCGTCAATTTGATAAAATATAAACTAATTTGGCAAAAATAAATGTCAAACAAATATTTTTAAATTTTTTAAAATTATTTCTATCCACTAAAAATAAAATTATGTAAAATTGATAAATTTTTTAGATATTTATTTATTTATTTACCAAATTAATTTTTATTATGTGTTTGGATGATGATCATGTAAAATTAATTTTAAAAAATTAATCATGTAATTTTTATTAATTTTTATCAATTTTACATAATTTTATCATTGGTGGATCAAAATAATTTTTAAAAAATTAAAAATATTTTTGACATTTATTTTTGTCAAATTAGTTTATATTTTATTAAATTGACGATTTTGCCCTTGAAATTAAACAAAGGTATCTTCAATTGTCCTTATTTGGAACAAAATTCAAAATTTAGGGTTAAATTTGTCACAATTGAAAAGTCAGGAACCAAAGTAACACGAGTCCCAAACTATAGGAACTATTTGTGTAATTTGCCCTTGAAGTTTCATTATGGCTGTTCTTGAGGCTATGAAGTTTGCTGCTAAATTAATCACCTGGACTAAGGACTGTATTAATTCCCCTAAAGTCTCAACCAGTATAAATGAACTTCAGGGGTATTTCAACAGAATAGAGGCACAAGGCAAGGAGATCCTATGTCTCCTTATCTTTTCATTATTGTCATGGAGCTTCTTTCTGGTATGTACACAAATTGTGCAGGGACACACCTTTAGCTATCATTGGAGATATGGTAATGAGAAAATCACCCACTTGTGTTTTGCTGACGACTTGATCTTATTTTGTAAAGCTAAGTTAACCTCTACGGATGTGATAAGTAAACCATGTCCCAATTTAAGGAGCTATATGGTTTGACTCCTAATCCAGCAAAGAATGATATTTCTACGTCGGCTGCTGACAATGAATGCTATTTTTGACTGTTTGAGGGTTCAAAGAGAGTAACTTCCACTTAGATATCTTGTTCCCTTCATTTCAATAAATTGAAGGTCGATGATTCCAAGCCCCTCATTGAGAAGAGTGCAAAAGGAAAAATCTTGGACTAATAAGACCTTGTCTAGAGCATGGAGCCATGGGCTGCCTAGAAATCTTAGGGGTGGACCGTTAGATTCTTGGTATAACTCTTATTGCTGCATTTCTTTTACTCTATTAAAATAAAAAGCAATACTATAAATTTTCAAAATAGCTGGAAGGACATGAATACTCTAAGGACAAGATTGGCCATTTTGAGATAATCGGAGTAGTCTTCATGATTTTGTGTTGTTTTATGTATTTGTAGGTTTTCAAAGTCTTTACACTCAAATGACGTGAGTAGAATGAATTTTGCAAAGCTTGCACGGATTTTTTTGAAGAAAGGATTACCCAATCAAATTTAAGAATAAAATCTAGAATTTTCGAATTGGAAGCATATCTCCTTATTATGATATTGGATGGAGATGATTCAAGCAGCGTTGGAAAGAACTCAAAGGGCTACAAATCATTATCTCATAATAATTTCTTAATTCAGCCATATTTGAGGTTAAAAATGAAGACAAATTCTGCACACAGGACGGATTGCATTCCCCAACTTTGAAAAATCATATTTTATTCATTTCAAGTCCAAACCATGCAAATCTTGTGTCTAAATTGAAACCCTAGATATCTACTTGCAGATGAAACTTGTGAGTTTTGAGAAGAGGAAAAAATTAGAGGTATGAGTGATCTCTCACCTTCTTTTATATTAAATCATTAGCATAATTACAGAGAATGATATAGGAAATATTTCTATATTCTAACATTCTATATTCTAACAAAACTAGCCACATGTCAAAATTTGAAGTGTAGAGTGAGATATCAATGAAAGATCATATATGACTCAATGTTTTCAACAACTAACCACTAAATTTTACTTCCCAAATCTTCCATATTCAACCATTGTTGGTTGTATTTATGAGCAAATCCCTAAATATTTGGGAGAAAAGACTTTGTACATGTATTTTTGCTCTATAAATAGAGAGGTTGGGTTGATCAAAGGAGAGGAAAAGTGGAGAAGAGTGATAGAAAATCAAGTGTAGAGAAAATTTTCTTCCAAGCTCTCTTCCAAGAAAGTTATGACAATTTCTATAGTCATGTGTATCTAATCTTCTCACCCTTAGGGCTTAGATGAAGCCCTACTCAAGAAACATTTGAGGTTTTGTAATTAATTCTTTAGTTGTATTATTTTTGGATATAATTGCATAACATTTAAAGATTCTTCTACATGTATTGTTTTATCTCACTTCTAGTGTTTGATTTCTGTGATTTCAAATGCATGGTTGTGCAATAGTTTTATTTGTACATATATTGAGATCCTAAGACAGATCATGCTAAGGGAAGACAGACTGTTCCTACAACAGTAGTTTTAGTGTAAGATGGGTTTGTACCAATCGAAGATGGCCTATGCCTAGAGTTTCAGTATATGAATTTTCTAGACTATCATATTAAGACTTGTAATCATAATATATTATATCATAATTATCCATTAATTAATCTCCCAAGAACAATTACAATTGGCTCATCTTACACGAGCAGTGGTAGATTTGAACACCCTAACGAATTTTCTTCAACCAAACTTCATCATTCTTTTATTTTTACTTGTCATTTTCATCAAGTTCACATCATCAACCTTCTTCGATCAAGTAAAAATAATTTTCAATTTCAAACACTATAGTTAGTACAATCCCTGTGGTATGACACACGTACTCAATCCACTATATTTTTTATTTTGCATAGTTACGATTTACTAGTTTTCTTAAGGATCATCCATTATCGGGCTTTTATGGCCTGGGGTATGCCCTTTGCATTTTCGTATAGACCTTGCCACATCTTCTTTCTTCTTCTTTTTTTCCTCATTTGCTTACCCACCAAAAAAAAAAGTCCAATTATTACCAACCAACTAAATTTCCTAGAAATGTTATATGAAAGGGGAAAAAATATCATCCCGAGGTCCATAATATTATGAGAAATATGAATTATACATCGAAACCGTGTAATGCACACAGAAATTATATAAATAAATAAATAAACAACGAATCTCCTATAATTTTTAAGCACTTTATTCCTAAAACTTGTTGAAGATCACGCTTGTATTGCATTTTATTCCACTACACTAAATCGGTTATAAAACGATTTGCCAAAATAACAATAAAAAAAAACTACAATAGCAGGTTTTCCATCAATTGAAAGAGGACAAAACAAAAAGTGGAGTTTTTCTGGGAAAACAAACGAGTGGGTTTGAGTGGGGAGGAGGAGATGCGAAATACCTTTAAATGTAGTGACGGTACTGGAGCACGATAAGAAGAAAGAGAGCAGAACTGAGAGAGAGAAGAGAAGAAAGGGAGGATGAGGAAGAGCATAAGAGCCCATTTCTTCGCTTGCTCTTCTTCACTGCTCTCACTTTCCCTTTCTTTCCTTTTGGCTGCGTTTGGTGTGGAGTAGGCTGCGTTTGGTGTGGAGTTGTAATCATCACTTTAAAAAATTAATTAGATACTCATTTTTGAAAACAAATTTTAGACCGAGTTATAGATTGCGTTTAGTAGGTTTTGTAAATATGATTTGAGAATATGAGTTGTATTTTGAGTTTGTGAGTTTTAGAATTATGATTTGAATGTAAAAAATTTATTTGGTAAAAGAGTTTTTGAATTGAGTGATGTGACATAATTTTTATACAAAAACTTATAACTCATAACCAAACACAACTCAAAATTCTATTCAAAACTCATAAAAAATTTTAAAAAAAAAATTTGAAAACATTTTTTATTTAACATATAAAAAAAATAAAAAAATAATTCAAGAACACTGTTCCGGTCAACCGACCGGACGTCCGAGGGACGTTCGAAGGGACATCCGGGTACACTATTTTTCAAATGTGGGTATGGAAATGTGTTTTGAAAACCGTAAACAAACGCCGCACTCGAACTTGAGTGTAGAATCATAATTTAAAAGCTGTACCAAACACAGCCTTAAATTTTGAAATTTAACTTACTCAATCCATCATGACGACATTTCGTCGGTTGTTAGTTGACTAAGATAGTGTTTTTTTTAAAAAAATAATTAGTACCTGTGATTTTTTATATTTTAAATAAAAAATAGTTTTTAAATTTTTTTAAACTTTTTATGAGTTTTAAATAGAATTTTGAATTGTGTGTTTAGTTATAAATTGTAAATTTTTTAATCAAATATCATATGTCACATTAAAAATTTCAAACTCAATTCAAAACTCATTTTGTAAATATGATTTGAGAATATGAGTTGTATTTTGTTTTTATGAGTTTTAGAAATTTCTTCGCTTGCTCTTCAGCACTGCTCTCACTTTCCCTTTCTTTCCTTTTGGCTGCGTTTGGTGTGGAGTAGGCTGCGTTTGGTGTGGAGTTGTAATCATCACTTTAAAAAATTAATTAGATACTCATTTTTGAAAACTAATTTTAGACGGAGTTTTAAATTGCGTTTGGTAGAATTTTGTAAATATGATTTGAGAATATGAGTTGTATTTTGTTTTTATGAGTTTTAGAAATTTCTTCGCTTGCTCTTCAGCACTGCTCTCACTTTCCCTTTCTTTCCTTTTGGCTGCGTTTGGTGTGGAGTAGGCTGCGTTTGGTGTGGAGTTGTAATCATCACTTTAAAAAATTAATTAGATACTCAGGCCTCGTTTGGGAACAGGTTAATTTAGTAACTTTTTGGTTATTTGGCTAAAAAGGTAGGTAAAAAAAACTTGTATGTTTGGGATGACTTTTTAGCTAATTACGAAAAGATGTGCAAAAAGTAGAGAGAAAAGAGAATCTTTGACTTTTTGGTATGGGTTGTTGGCTTTTTGGCTAATTTAGTAACTTTTTGGCTAATTGGCTAAAATAGTCTCTTGCCAAACGAGGCCTCATTTTTGAAAACTAATTTTAGACGGAGTTTTAAATTGCGTTTGGTAGAATTTTGTAAATATGATTTGAGAATATGAGTTGTATTTTGTCTTTATGAGTTTTAGAATTATGATTTGAATGTAAAAAATTTGTTTGGTAGAAGAGTTTTTGAATTGAGTAATGTGACATAATTTTTATACAAAAACTTATAACTCATAACCAAACACAATCCAAAATTCTATTCAAAACTCATAAAAAATTTAAAAAAAAATTGAAAACCTTTTTTATTTAATATATAAAAAAAATAAAAAAATAATTCAAGAACACTGTTCCAGTCAACCGGCCGGACGTCCGGAGAGACGTCCGAAGGGACATCCGGGTACACTATTTTTCAAACGCGGGTGTGGAAATATGTTTTGAAACCGTAAACAAACGTCGCACTCGAACTTGAGTGTAGAATCATGATTTAAAAGTTGTATCAAATACAGCCTTAAATTTTGAAATTTAACTTACTCGACATTTCGTCGATCGTTAGTTGACCAGGATAGTATTTTTTTTTTAAAATAATTAGTACCTGTGATTTTTTATATTTTAAATAAAAAATAGTTTTTAAATTTTTTAAAACTTTTTATGAGTTTTAAATAGAATTTTGGATTGTGTGTTTAGTTATAAATTGTAAATTTTTTAATCAAATATCATATGTCACATTAAAAATTTCAAACTCAATTCAAAACTCATAACCAAACAAAATTTTCACACTCAAATTATAATTTCAAAACTCACAAACTCAAAATATAACTCTATGATTTGAATTATGATTTGATAATAGAGTTGCATTTTGAGTTTGTGAGTTTTGGAATTTTGATTTGAGTGTGGAAAATTTGTTTGGTTATGAGTTGTTTGGTTATGAGTCTTGAAAAAAAAAAATCTGAATTGAGTTTTGAGTTGAATGTTAAATTGAGTTTTAAATGTTTGATGTGACATTTAAAATAAGAAAATTTGTTTGGTTATGAGTTTTGAAAAAAAATTTCAAAACTTAATTCAAAAAGTTATAACTCATATCCAAAACACACAATTCAAAACTCTATTTAAAATTATATTCAAAACTCATAATCAAACGCTTTTTAACATTTAAATCAAAAAAAAAAAAGGTCATTTTGGTCTAAAAATAATAATTTTATATTTAAAAATATCAAAAACAAAGATTTTTTTTTTTTTTCAAATAAAACGTGGCTATTGGCGATTGGCAATTGCAAAAAAAAAAAATAAATAAAATGCATTGTTCTAGTCAACCGAAAGGATAGCCGAGTAGACTTAAAATTCAAAAACCCTCTAATTTTTAGAATGGAGAACGCAAAAGAGTGAGTAGCCAAACGTGAAGGAAAATTACATTTTAAAATGTGTGATGGAATTATTTTGGGTGTTGGGTTATTATTTTTTAGAATAATACTATATACACTAATTAGTGTACTAACTACTGTATCAACTAATGGTGTGGTAATTTAAGATATTTTTAGTATTTATAATTTGTATAATGAGTAGAATTAATAATAATTTCATAACTAGTGTTAGTACGGTTGGAAAATAATGATTTTTCGACAACTTTAATTCGAACTTAAAGTCGGACCCAACCGCCGGTTGAGTTGGGTTTGAGTGGTTTTGTATTCTCTCAAGTGAGAAGATTACAATATAAAAATGATGGACCGAAACCATTGAGTTGTGAATGAAAATTGTCTCATAAAGTGGGCATCAATAAAAGTTGGGCTTAGATTTGGACTTAGTCTTAGTTTAGACTGGGCCTAGACTTGTACTTGTGCTTGTGCATGTGTTGGGTTTGGTCTTGGACTTAGAGTTGGATTTAATCTTAAACTTGAGCTAAGCTATGTTGTGTTAGGCTTAACTTGTGCATGTGTTTGAGAATAGGGTTTGGATCGGGTTGTAACCCAACATTGGTATCCATTGTGTGACCCATCTAGTTGTTTTATTCAAACGTCATTATATACATATTTATTTGTATATATTAAGCACATGGGAGGGTTAGACCTTTGTAACTCTCATCTTTTGAGGATGGAGTTGATGACCATATTAGTGATCATAGGTTTTCAATGTTAGTAACTCTAGCCCTAATGGCTAGAATTGATGGTCTTGGTTAATGGCATTTGATAACCCTATTGATATATAGCCTTTATGGCTAGGGATTCCCCTACTTGTATAAATAGAGAACTTTCCCCTCCAACTTAGTAGAAGAGTTTTAAGAGAGATTTTTGATGGAAAATGGAGATGTTTTGAGATAAAAAAAAAAAAAGTTGAAGATGGTTTTCACACCAAAGAAAAATTTCTTATCTTCTTTTGCTAGTCCCTTCTTTGGTTCTTGTTAGACAGAGTGCAACCAGTTTCAAGTTCACCGAAACTATTCAAAAGGTGCTTCTGCATTAGCTGGTTTTGACCGTCATATCTTGGGAGACAGAAGTCGACATACCTTCAGCACCCAGGGTGAGGCGGCTAATCTGTTTTAAAGATACAGTGGTATCACACAAATTTCGGTTTGCTTTCTTTACCTTTTATCGTATTGTGTATTTTTATGGTTGTAATATTCAACATGTTTTCTTATTCTATTATGTAATTTGATTAATCATGAATCTATTTATCTTGTTTAATTACACAATTTGTATAACAATCTTAAAACAGATTATATGTGTTTCATAGAATTAACAAATAGATTCACATAGATTAATTTCCCCACTGTATCAGATTTAAATTTTTGTAATAGGCTACTGTGTGGCAGGTTCATTATGTTATTACTTTTGCAAAATAATGGAATTATATGTATATAGGCATGCTATCATCTATAGGAATTCCGGTATATATAGTTTTGTATCAATAACTTCACATGACGTGGCTACAGCTTTGCTTATAATTGTTTAATTTAGAGGCCACTGTTTTCCTGTATAAGGCAAGAGGATATGCATGCTACTGTTCATAGAGTTTTTTGTTCCATTCACTTGCTATGCATGATTAGGATTTAAATAAATAAATATCTTCCTCATGTTTTATTTTGCTTCCAATTTATTTTCTATATGAAAAGAAAATTAGGTTGTTGATGATTAATTAAATGGTCTATTGTTTGTTTAGATACATAGTTTTATGAGTACGATTTTGAATTTCCTACCATGCTTTGCATGTTGTATTTTATAGCTTTATAATAAAATTTGCATGCTCATGAGTGTTTAAGTTTTAGTTAAAATGGGCATGTTAATTAGTTGCTATTTTTTTTTATATATGTTCATGATGTTCTAGATCCTAGTTTAATTCACTTTTTTATTAGTTTCTAGAATTTTAAGGTAATTTGCATGTCCTTAGATTTTGGTGTAGGTTACATGCATATTTTCTAGGATTATTTGCATGTTTTTAATTGCTAGAGTTATTTGCATGGTTATTGTTAAATAAATTGATATGTAACTCTTGCCTATTAAACTTTTGTTTTAAGGTTTTGGAGTTTTAAAGTTTTGTAACTTATCTAAATTTATTTACATATTTATTATGTAATAATTGATATATAACTCATGGCAATAAATTTTAATTTAATTATTTGTAATTATA